AGACAGCGCGCGCGACCTCGCCGTCCAGCGCGTCGAGGTAGAAGCGCACAGCAAACAGCAGCACGCCGACCTGGCGCGCGCCCAGCGACCCCCTGCACGCCAAGAAGCGCATGGCCACGACCGACACCAGGACGTGGGACACTGAGATGCGGTCCGGGCTGAGCCAGGGCGCGCTGTTGTGCAGGTCCAGGCCCTGTAAGAAGAAAAAGCACACGGTCCAAGTCCCCGCGAGAAAAAAGAGGTCAATTTGTCACATTTATTCCAGAATTTTAAAAAAAGGAGTTAGACGCAGATCCAGAAAACCATAAGAGAGTTATGGAGACGAAAATCTGTTTAAGATTTCTTTCACACTGATAAATAAAGTGTTGAGCTGGCGTGCAACTGCAAGCGCTCAACACTATGTCGCACACTTTCACTGGATATTTGAATGCTGTAAAGTGTCTAATAGTAAAGTTACGCACTTAGGAGTGTTCAACATTAGGGTTGGCCATGAAGCTTTGGACACTTAAAAGTGTTAAATTTACTGTTGAACACTTCGAAGTATTCAAATGTCTCGTCAAACACATAAAAGTGTGCAACATATTGCTAAGCACTTCTTGTATGTGCACACAGTTGAACACTTTATTTAATCAGTGCATTTTATGTGTTATGCTTACAAGTTCAGTGAGCCTGGCCAGAGGCATGAAGATGTGCTGGTTCATGGGGTCCATGAAGAGGCCCTTGATGGCCGTGTCCGGCACTAACAGGTCCCTCCAGTGGATGCTGGGCGCGGGCGCCACGCTGCCCACCACCACGGACGAGGAGTTCCTCGCCTCGGTCTCCTGGTCATCTCCACTCAGAGTCTGAAACAAAGACACCGTATGGCGTATGGGACGAGTGTCAAAGGAAGTTCTGCTGTCTCATGTCACACACTAGATGGAAATGGACAGTTTCTGTCCCAATTAAGTATGTGATTCCGTGCACATCTTCAAAACAGTTTGTGTCCGACGCATGCAAAATAGCGTCCCATTCTTGGGGCAGAGAATTCCCTTATAAGAGCAGAATGTGTAAGACGGCCTGAGCCAATGCCCGCACCGAGACTGCAACAACACCCGCGCACAGCGTTATGAGAAATCCGTGAGCACAGCATTCGCACCGAGCACTTTCTCTAATTGACGCCACGAAGAACATATAGAAAGGCTCCTTTTTCACGCGCTGTCCAGCCGTCCATGCACTGCAGCAGTTCAGTAAGACCGAAAACAAGACACGCCGCCCACGCTCGCCTGGCGGCGCCGGACCGGCTCCCCCGCGCGCTGGGCTTCACGCTATTTGGCTGCTGGCCAGGATGACGTTTAGAGCATCCGCCCGAGCGAAAGAGAGGGAGAGAGTCTCTCTCGCTCAGACCGGAAGGATGAGAACGTTGCAGAGGGAGAAAGAGGAGAGCGCGATCCATACACGACCCCGAATCCCGATTCAACCGAATGACGTGTGAGAGAGGATAGGGGAGGGAGAGAAGAGCAGGGCGTGGAGAGGATGTCGACCCGCACCAGACCCGAGGCATGGCCAAGGGTACGGTCTAATCGGGTATTTGGAACCTCCGGGGGCCGTGAGTTTTTCAGCTCAATATTTTACACCCGTCCTACTTCTTTCTCGTCCTCTCTTCGCGCCTGCATTCGCGCCTGCATTCGACATACTCGCCCTCTCTTATTGATCTCAGTGACGTCATGCTGTCGTCACCGGTATGCGGCCCACTACTGACGTCAGTGACGTCATCCCCATGGGCGGAATAACGTGTCAAAGTGTCCAAGGTTTCCGACAAGGGGTGAACGACTGGGCGGCTCCTGTGTACAGGCCAAAATGTACTCCAGGTGTTCTCCGATTGTACTCCGACTGTACTCCGTGTACTCCGGCTGATTTTGTCGCAAGTTCTCCGCGTACTCCGACTGTACTCCGCGTGTACTCCGGTCTACTCCCGGTGTACTCTGTGCGCTCCGACCGGCAATACTCAGTGTTCTCCGACTGTACTCCGTGTACTCCGTACTCCTGTGTACACGAAAAATTCAAGTCGCCCACCCCTCGGTTTCCGATCTTAACTTCGACCTGACGGTAACGTCACCTCGCCGCCACACCGTGACTACTCCAAGGTAATGGCGTACACGTCCTGCGGGCGGCACGGCGGGACAAACACGACGCGACGGCGTGGAGGAACAATATCTCCGAAATGAACGCGTTTACGACGAAAAAGTCTTCGCACTGTACGGCTTCAGCTCGCAACTTTACAATGTACAATTTCTCAATTTAACACATTGAGTCCCACGTGACCACAAGCATGGGCACAATAACCCGTGATTGCTACCTCCCCCCCCCCCTCCGGACTCAACGTGTTCAAGAAAAATGTTTATATTGTCATCATCTTCGAGTCTATTTCTGTCAGGCGCGCTTGCTTCGCGATGAGCGCCGCGCTGCCGCGACCGCCTCTCATGCCCTGTATTCGGCACTGTGGCGAAACCAATATTTTCCCCCGGCCGCGCGGGCAGGTGGGCAGGGCAGGGGGGGGGGGGCAGACACGAGGAAATGCCAGAATAATGTGAGAGTTGTCGACAGGCTAGAGTCGAGCTGCTAGAGCGTCGTGTCGTATGCGCCTTCATTACTATCGAGCCGGGCGCGGGTGTGGGCATTCCCTCAAACACACCGCGACGGGCTCGACAGCGTCGCCCGTCACTCACGGGGGGCCTCCACTGCAACCACTCCGCCTAGTCCTGTTTTCAGACCCCCCCCCCCTCTCTCTCCTTCACCCTCGACCACTCACTCACCCCTCTCGATATACCTGCTTTAAGGACGAGCCCGTCCGATAGCAATCAGTATGTGGTGGTGCGTATGTGTGTGGGGGTGTGAAAAGTGTATGTGCTTAGAGGGGTGAGGGAAAAATGGGGGAGGGGGCAAGCACTTTCGTGCGAGGAAAATGCCGCTACAGGAACCGCAAGGGGCTCCCTTAAAGGTACACGCAAAAATCATCCCTTTCAAGGAAGTTCAGGACCACCACTGCAGACCCGTAATATTCTGAGCCCGGGTTTAAAAATATCATGGGGTCACTATGAACTTTAACGGTGATCCTGCAGCCTAATGGGAACCCATGCTATTTGTACCCCTACCCTGCGGGGCTCATAGTGCACCTCCCGCCCGCCCTCAACCACCACCACTCTTGCTCCTTGATGAGATGCAGAGCGCGGCACACTAACAAAACTTGTTGTCACTTTCATAGTTTTCTAGACGGATTGTGGGTGAGGGCCGTTGTGTTCTTTCGGACAAACAAATCGATGAGCGGATCGGGCAACCATCCGGGCCGGCGTTTGTTCACTCACCCCGCCCGTGTCAGCCTGTCAGTGACTTCCCCTCCTCGACGAACCCTCCACTCGATAAGGGCGGCCAAAGCGTGGTATCAGTCAGGATCACACTACTCGTAAAGGCACACGGGCTGTGAATACGCTTGGCAGCGGGGCGGGGCGGGGCGGGGCGGGCGCGAAGCGGCGCGACGCGAAGTCCACTGTCGGGCGCGCAACTAATAAAATAAATAAAATGTAACACAGACGTCGTCAAACACAAGACGACTGGCGAGACCGAGATAAGTCAGAGAGAATGTGTGTCTGTGCGCGAACGCGCGTGTCTGCGTGCGTGCACTGTTATAGATTAGAATTGCGAAGTATTTAGATCCTTTGTAACTACGAAGCATTTACTTTGCAATTATAAAGTGGTGCATTGTAATAACAAAGTGACGCTTTGCAATTGCAAAGCGGTGCTTTGCAGCGTGATTCGGTGCTTCGCAATTGCAAAGCATCACTTTCTAATTGCAAAGTACATGCATCGTAGTTACAAAGGATCTAAATACTTCGCAGTTCTGCAAAGCAGTATTACTTCGTAGCCATTTAACAGTGTCTGTGTGTGAGTGGAAACGGTATGCTTTGCGTCACGTGCAAGGCGACCGGCATGTCTAAGTGCCTATTTCCTAATTAATACCAAGTGCGGTATCTTTTTGCATGAAATGCAATTCAGTCAGCCATCCGGTGAGATAATACCGAATAAAACGTCAAATGTACCAGCCAATAATATTTTGAATGCCCTTTGCATAATGTCACGTCACGTTTGCGCGGCCGGGCCTAACCGAACTATGCACTGTAAAATGCTTGCAATATATATATTCTTTGCAATGTTGCAACGAATTTTCGAACTTTGTATTGCGAAGTATTTGTTTGTTTTTCAAAGAAATTCTTTGCAAGCTGCAAAGATAAAATCTCAATCAAGAATCGATCTTGAAAGCAGATGATTCAAATTTAAGAATAGGTCTGTGTTCTAATTTTCTCTAATATTTAGCTACCTAGAGGAGGAGATAAGGAAGGGCGGGCAGAGCAGCCGGCGTCGGTAGTCCAGTATTGTTGGGCAGGGACGGGGCCACGGGGCCTACCCTGCCTGCCTGGCGCAGTATTCCACTGGAAAAACAAAGGTGCTATCTAATGCCTTTTAAAGGCGTTAGTGAAATGGTGCCTCTAGAAAGGTGCTACTGCCCCCAAAGAAGCTATTTTTGGCACAGATCGTGCCTCTGCAAAGGCACTAGTGCAGTAACAGTAACCGTCAGTAGCACTTCTAAAAATTCAGTTGCACCCTAAAAAGGGTGCTATAGCACGACTTTTGTTTTTCCAGTGTCGGCAGGAGGGGGAAAGGGGTAATGCGAAAGCAAAGCGGCTTCAGCGCCGCACAGCCATTCCCTGCTCAGCGTCCAATGATGTTGCTGATGTTGGTGTTTGCCGGTATACGCTACGTCTCTTCCCTTTTAGTTAGCTTCCTCTCTTTTACCCTATCGAGAGTGACAGCTGCTGACACCTTGGTATTACTAATGTACAGTATATTAATGTGAAGTGTTAAGTATAAAGTGTTTCAAGGTACCATCTGACAACCAAGAATCGATCTTGAAAGCAGATGATACAATTTTAAGAATAGGTCTGTGGTCTGTGTTCTAATTTTCTCTCATATTTAACTGTCTTTTGCTTACGGCTGCTTGCAACTTGCAAACTTAATCTTGTTATTTATTGGTGGAACAGTGAAGTAAAGGGAATAAGGGGGCGGTGGGCAGAGCGGCCGGGACAGTGGCCCAGTATTGTTGGACAGAGGGCCTGTTCCCTGCTGTCTCGCGCCTGCCTGGCGCAGTATTGTTGTTGCCTCTTGGTTGTTGCATATCGCGACACTCACTCACTCGCCCGGACACGATTCCCCCAGAGTGCCCAGGCCCAGATCCAAAGAAATTGTTTTCTGGTCTCGGCTTGGTTCTCCTTCCGTATCGATGAGAGTAAAAGCAAGCTGACACTTTTAAGTTACTTATTTATTCTACATGTTTAGTTAAGGGTTTATAAGGTATCATCTGCTAAAAAGTTTGCACTACGAACCTATTCTTTGCTGCAAGCACTTTGCAGTGTGTGCTTTACACCCCCCCACACCCAAACAGAGAGGCCGTGACCTTCATCGAGCCTTCCCCTCCAGGGGGACCAGCCCAGCACAAGCTGGAGCCGGAGCGCGGGGTGTGCGGCGGAAGCCTGCATAGGTACAGGTTCATCGCCGCACTTAATCCAG